ATGTTACTTGGCTTGATTTATGTATTACACACTGGATTTATAAATCATAATATCACTTTTACCCCCAAATAGATAGAACTATAACTTTTTAATTTATAATAAAAATTAAAAACTAAATTTAAAAGAACACATAAAATGGGAACATGGACAAAATAAATGTGTAAATGAAAATAGAAGATAACTTTTATCAGGTTTAGGAAGTTTCCTTTCTTTCCTTGTTTTTTGAGAGTTTTTTCATGAATGGTAATAGACTTTTGTCCAATGCTTTTTCTGTGTCTATTGATAGAAAGTCATTTGGCTTTTGGCTTTTGTTCTATCAATATATGGTATATTATTTGCTTTTCCTATCTTAAAGTAACCTTGCATTCTTTTTAGTCATTGTGAATAATCTTCAATATGTTGTTGAATTTTATTTGCTAATTTTTTTCATTTATATTTGTGAATAATATGGCCTGTAATTTTATTGTCATGTCTTTGAGATCAGATTTCTATTGGTCTCACAAAATGAATTGGTAAAGTGTTCTTACCTTTTCTATTTTCTGAGTTTGTGTGGAATTGGTATTTCTTCCTTGTTTGATAGAATTCATTAATGAAGACATTTGGACCTGAATGTTTCTTTATGGGAAATTTATTAATTACTAATTAGTTTACTTGATAGAGATCTGTTCCTACTTTCCCTGTCTTTTTTAGTCATGTTTGTTGCCTTTGGGAATGTGTTCCTTTGCATTACATTGCCTAATTTACTGGCTTTAGCTAGCTATCCAAATAACCTCCTGGTTTTCATTCTTCCTACTCATTTCCTGCCTGGATTCCTGCTGACTCCAAGACCAGGGCCTTTTGGGGGTCTGCAGGCAGACAGATTTCCTTCCTCCATGACTGTGGTATCTTAAACGATTTCTTCTATTCTTTGTCTTCTGTTCATGTTCCAGAAATATTCCTTCAACTGATGACTTCTAAATCTATTCTCAATTATGGGTTAAAATCATTTTACTACCATTTTCAGGGTGAAACTGAAAAAAGGTACATTCATGCTATCTTCTTGAACCAAAAGTCTTGATTAATTTTTATAAAGAAGAAGAAAATCAATATTTTTATTTTCATTTTTGAGATATAAAGTATATCCTACTTTATATTTAACCAACTTGAGTATCTCCTGTATTGCTTGTTTTATTTCTAATTGGAATGTTGTTCTATTGGAAAGAGCATGGCTGTTTGGAGGTATATATTGTTGAGCAAATCCTTATTTTCATACTTAATTAGCTGTATGACCAAGAGGTAGTCATTTAATCTCCAGGACATTCAGTTTCTTGTGAAGTGAGGATAATTATGTCATTGTTATTTTAACAATGGATGTGAGAGATAATATATGAGAAAATGTTGAAAGCCTGAAATATGTGATCAAGAAAAAGCTTTTCTTTTCATTGTTTCCCATGAGCAGAATCTTGACAATAATCTTAGAATGAAAGAGTCATAGAGTTGTAGAGTTGAAAGAATCTTTACCCTGACTACAAGAATTTCTGCAGTAGATCATATAAATCTAGTGTTTTTCCTCTTCCCTTTCCCTGGTCTTTCTGCATCTCTCTAGATAGGCATTATTTACATAGTTGATGAAGTATGTTTGATTCTCAGGAATCATCAAGGTAAGTAATATGAACATTTCTACCATTTAAAAACCCAGCAGGAATTAAAATTCATTATAAAAAAAACCAAAAAACTTTATAATAGTAGAGTGTGAATCCAGATTTCCTGATGCCTGGAATCTTACTGTTGTATTAGTTCCTCTTTTCTGTGCAATCAATAATGTAATGAGATTACATTTGTGGTTAAAATAAGCAATTCTTCTCTTCTAACTACTGAATACCTTGAAGATCTCAAGGTACTTTTAATGTTCACATTCCCTCACTTGATAAACATTTTTTGAGCACCTGTGATGTATTGAATTAAACTGAACAATCACCCAAAGACTTGACTTTTTTTTTGCTCGTATAATTTAAAAGAATAAGGGTAAAATTGCACACACACACACACACACGATTCCTGGATTTGCAACAGATGAATTAAAAGGTTTATTCTTTAGTTTGGTAGCTTGGGTATTCTGTAACCTCCAGTCTTCATTCACCAGATTGTTAGTGGGAAGATTTTTTTTTTTTTTTTAAATACAGCATCACTGCCTTGGATCCATCTCAGACAAACTTGAGATCCAGAGAATGATATACCTGATGCTAAGGAGGTTAATGCTATTCCAGAAAAACTTATTTTTCTTGAGGATGTGAACTATGCCTTTCTGTACAGTGGAGCCCCAGAAAAAAATCACAAAATGTGGCTCATATCTTGGCATAGATTTTCTATTATATTATAGTTGTAAACATAATGGTATTATATGAGCACATATCCAATAAAAATACATCTGAACATATGAGCTTCCATGTCACTTCTTGCTAACTTGTAGTTCTCTAGAAATCTGAGAAAACTCCTTTTGAAGTACGTATCTCTGTTTCTTTTGCAAAGGAGCATTTTAAGTTATTTCTATCAGTGCTTCCATTAAAACCCATATTTATAAATTACCTTGCTTTGCAAATACAGAGAGAGCTTGATTTTGAGTAATGAAGGAGAATGAGTAAAAGCCATAAAAAAGGGAATGGCTTTTGAATTAGCTATTGGAAATCACTTCCAATACAATTGTCTCTTCATGAATATGAAGAAAGTATTTTGGGGGGAATATGGTACCAAATAAATATACATACCATTTATAAAATGTTTAGCAATGCTTTTTTTCACTAATAGAAAACAGTCCTGGTATTTTTAATATTGTTTCATGTTATAACTGCCCTTTATATTTTTTTTCAATATTGTGTTTATCATTTTTTCAGGCAGCAAGATGATGTTTTAGACTTGGCTACCCCTGATGAAACCACAGTTCCCAAAGCGACCACTTCTGCAATAGAAAAAGACATCTTGGTAACAAGCTAGTTCTTTTATCAGTAGAATTAAAAATAAAGGAAACACTTGAATATACTTTTATTATATTTTTGAGATTATTCTGTGAGCCTCCTTTGTGGAGCTCTGTGGATTTAGGAGTAAATATAGAATTCCATAAAATGCCTCTATTGGATTAATGGAGGAAATCATTCTCTATTTTGTCACTTAAAACTACAGACCCCTGTAATCTCAGTGGCACACCCCTGTAATCTCAGTGGCTCTAGAGGCTGAAGCAGAAGTCTCATGAGTTCAAAGCCAGCTTGAGCAACTTAGCAAGGCCCTACATAACTTAGCAAAACCCTGTCTCAAAATAAACAATAAAAAATGGACTGGGGATATAGCTCAGTGGTCAAGTGCCCCTTTGGTACTTGGGGGGGTACCAAAAACAAAAAACTCAAATCTATTTGCTTTCCCATCTTAAAGTTAGCCTCAGTTATGTATAGGTTTTACATGCTTTTTATTATTTTATGAGAAATTATCTGTTATATAGTGTACATTTATGAAGTATATCGACTATCTTTAGAAATAGTAATTCTTCAAGTATACCAATACATAATAATTTTTAAAATGTGGATATTAAATAATGTAATAGTGCTAATTTAAAGTTGAGGTTTAATTTTTTTTCTAATAAGTGCCATGTAAATACTTGTGAAAATATATTAAAGTTTAATTCCATTTTTAGAGAAATAACCCCAGGTTTTTAAATAAATATTTTATGAACACATATAGTAGAAGTTCTGAAATTATAATGTAGATTATTAATAGGTCAATTAGAAATTTTCTAAATCCTATTGTATAATATTTTTGGAATTACTATGTAGGGATACTGATTTGCTTGCAGCTTTTAATATATACTTTTGATTATCAATAATAACAGGACAAAATTTAACATTTTAAAACATTTATGAAGCACTAAACTCTAATTTAGCATAGACTTTAAGTGCATCATATATTTGGTAATATAATGTGATGATTAATAGTATATTTGTGAATTAAAATAAGAGCTTTAATTTTCATGAAATAGCACATGTATTTTGAATTTAAGAGAACTCAAATAATGCTTCCATGAATTACACAAAATACTTCTTTATAATTTATAAAAACTTAGTTCTTCTAAAACTTGAATTTTTCTCAATGGTTTTGCATTTTGACAAACATTGTTCTTTTTTTATAATACCACCTGTGTTTTCCCTCTGTCCTCTTTGTAGAGATATTACTATTATATTCACCATGGAATTGATACGGACCACGTAGCACCAATGGAAGATTCTTGGTTAGAACATGTATTGAATTTAGTCCCACAACATCTGAAAGTTCTCACTGACAGTATAACAGCATTATCCGATGAAATGAGAGAAGATTATCTTCTTAGTGTAAAGAAATCCATAGGTAAATTGGGATTACTCTTTGCTTTCTAATTTGAATATGTATTACATTAAAGATAATTTTTAATTGAAGTTTAACACTTATAATTGAAATTATTTACTATATTAAATATGTTGTTTCCTATATTGTTGTTACATAAAATCTTTGGCAACTTTTATAATGAATTCCAACAAGCAATTTTAAAAATTAGTCTTTCTGTTTGTAGTAATGCATACTCTCAATAAAGGATATCACTGAAGAAAATTATAAAACCTTAATTTCAATCCCTCAAAATATTTATTGAGTATCTAATTTATGCAAGGCATTGGACACCTAAGGAGATAGTCTCTCTCTTCAAAATGGTTCCTTCCTTCAAGGATCTCTTGATATATGTGTAAGAGATAGACATACATATATGAATAATAACCTAAAAATTTAAACATTAATAATGAACATTAATATTAATGATGTCATAAATTTACATGATTACATTATTGCTATGGACCAAAAATTGGAAAGCAAGGGCCCAGAGGCCATGTCTGGCCATTGCCTGTATTTATAAATCAAGTTTTATTAAAACACAGCCACATTCATTTATTTTCTTTTTTTTCCAGTTTGAAACCATATTTTATTGCTAGAAATATCCAATAACTATATATTTTTAAGCAGAAAACTTTCTTTTCCTTCTTACAGCATCATTAGCAGAAAAAAGGAACATTTCTCGTTTTTAGAAATGATACTGGGTCTCTAAGAAAATGAAGACTATCTGTTGTATTTGTGGAACTTAAAGTCTAAAAGCACAGGACACATTTTTAGAAGAGTAATTTACTTTTACCCATTTATATTCGTAATATTTGAGTATAGTTAGGTCATGTATAATTAAGTCAATCAAATCAGGAATCCAAGAAGAAACTGTTCTTCTTGAATTAAGCACAGCACACATGAGATTTTTGAGAACATACATGAACAACAACAACAAAAAAGAACACCGGCAAGCCCAAATCCAAGTATAAATGGTGTTTTTTTCCAAGGGTATTAAAAGCATGCTCTATTAGCATACGGCTTTTTCTCATTTTTGTAACAGATGCAGTTCTGTTTACTCATGTAAAGGGTTAGAACCTGTATAAATATATTAGAAATGTACTACTTTATAAATGTATTCCAAGGAATTTATCATTTCCTTTATCTTTGCAGGGACAAAAGGGAAAAAGAGGTGGGGATATGGTTGCAGTATTTAAGGAAGAGCTGAATACAATAATGAATCTTCATGGTGCCAAGAACTCCATAATGAATAACCAGTCTCTCATCTATTTTATAATTCATGTTAGATCAAGCAGTTAATTCCTTGTATGGTTACCAATAACTCAAACCATATACTTTTCAAAATACAAAGATCAATAGGTACTTCCTAAGTAGAACACCAAACACTAAAAGGAATCCTTCCTTCCAATGTTTTTTGACATCACAAGATTTTGCCAGAGTGGAAGTCTAATAACATTTAAATAAGCAATTTCATGGCTAAGAAAGAACTACAGCTCTTATGGGTATTATTCCACAGCTAGGATATGTATTACATATTAAATTAACCCCAGCATTATATATGCTTTGCACAATTATGGTATGATAGCAGTGATGATACTAGTGAGAAAAGATTATCTTTAGTTCAAGAAGGAGGGAAATACAAGAAGCAGAAAGCAGACATAGTTGGTCATTTTCTGATGAGGAAAGGTAAATTTTAAACATAGAATATAAAAAGAAAACTACTCCCTTATTTCCCCACGGTGGAAATAATATGAAACATTTATTTGATATATTGAACAAAAACAGAGCTAAGTAATCCAACTCCATTGCAGCATAACCAAAAAAAAAAAAAAAAAATCACCTCTTCAACACAGTGTAAGATTTAAATGCAACCTGCATAAGGGCACATGTCATATAAAATAGTAAGACTGCTGCTGCCTTACCAAATACTTCCAGTCCCTACCCAGGTTAGAGTGAAATACTGGTGGTCCCAATAGTTTTATTGAAATTAATCATTTAAAAAATATTTTTAAATGACAAATCGAAATGCCTCAGTCTCAGTAACCATATATTCAACTGAAACTTTTATCTATGTAAATGAGATTTATTTACTTCCCACTAGTAAGTCTTTATTTCACTCATGTTACAGCTATGTATTTTCCATACTTAGTATCTGCCTTGCCCAATATCAAAGAAAAAATCCAAAATGATTAGTAAATAAAAATGTAGGAAATAACACCCCCTTGAGTTTTAAATATTTTTAAGGTTTAAAAAGTGTTTTAAGTTTGTAATTCCTAGTAGGAAAACATTATCTGAATGAACACCCTAATGGCAAACCATTGTAAAATGCTTCAACTGGATTTGCTGCAGAGGGGTAGGGATTATCTTCAAAGCACCCCAGCTCTCCTGATGAGGTCAGAGGTACAGTGGTTTGTATTATTGCGACAGCCATTAAGTGATCTAGGTTGCTTTTCCTTCAGTAAGGGGTTTTGTCAGGTGGGCATTACGCTTGACCTCCAAATTTGGCTGACAATTTACTGATGAGATTCATAACCTTTGGGTTGCTTTGATATTTTGACATATTTGCTGGGTTCTGGGCCACATCCTGGAAGGCCACCATAACTTCTGGATCCTGCATGGCTGCAAGAACCTCCGGATCACTAAGAATTTCATTGAGCCCAAGCATTCCTGCCATTCCAGGCATGCCCCCTCCCATTCCAGGCATTCCTCCAGGAAAGCCACCTGGAAAAGAACCAAACTGAGCTCCTGCTTGTTGTCTGGCTTCTTCCTCCCTCTGGGCTCTCTCATGTTCTTCTCGAGCCTTCTTAACTCTTTCTGTTCTTTCTTTGATCTCTGGCTCTTCACGTTTTCGCTCATCATGGGCTGCTTCTTCCCAGTGGCCCAAAAGTCTGTGGGCGTACCCTCGCCACTTGTAAGGCTGAGCTGAATCAGGATTTATTTCAATGGCTCTGTCACAGTCTCGAATGGCAGCATTTGGCTTCTGTAATTTGATGAAGACACTGGCTCTCTTGGCATACAGAATGGCCAAGCGAGGATTTAGCTTGATAGCATCTGTGAACAAGTCAATGGCTTTCTGTAGTTCACCATCATTCAGGGCTTCAATGGCAGCCCCTTTCTTTTCGTTTGCTTGATCCATCATCTCCTCGGTTATCTCCGCATTTTCATCTCCCATTTCTTGAGGAGCATCAGTGTCTGGTTCAATTACACCTTCATTATCAATTTCTAGATCACTTTCCTCACTTGGTGGCTCATCTCTCTTAATGTTTTCTTCCGACTTCTTGCTATCTGTTTTTTCTTCCTTGGTATTTTCTTCTGATTTAGGTTTATGAGTAGCAGGTGGTACTTTACCCCCCATGCTCTCCACCCACTCTCTCAGGAAGCGCATCTCCTTGGTGTGCAGGACGCTCGGACCCTGCTTACACATTTTCACGAAGGCCCTAAGCTCGCTCACTTTGCGGGGATCCATGGTCGAGGAGAGGCAGGCGGAGGCGGCTGGGCCCGTTCCCAGGCCCGGGCGCTGGCTCAGCGTGACCGCGCAGAAGCCATTTATTTTCACATTGTGTTTGCTTTTGAGCTATGAGAGCAGAGTTGAGTAGTTGAGTAGTTGTAACAGAGACCTTGAGGCCCACAGAGTTGGAAATATTTATAGTCTGGTCCTTTACATAAAAAAGAATCATTGACTCATGGTATACACCAATAGATTAACCCTAAGTCTGAACATCTTAAGAGTCATTTTTGAAGTACACATTTCTGGTCCAACCTGAATTAAAATGCTTGGAGATGGGACCTTGGAATCCATACTTCTAAAAAAGGTTCCCCAGTTGGTTTCAGTAATAAAACTGGTATAACTGATGCTCTGTTCAAAGTTGGAGACATCACAACACTTTGGGGTGACCTGGGAACACTTCCCTGAACACTTCTCAAAAGTGGTCCCAGATCATTCATTGCATTTGATTTTTGTTGAGTATCTTGGTAATATAAAGAGCCAAATAGTATAATGAGGGGTTGAATATCTTGGTAATATAAAGAGCCAAATAGTATAATGAGGGAGATGAACAAATCACTGAACTATAAAGCACAGTAGTAAGTGCAATAAGAATTCAGACAGAGGACGTAAGGGAGAAGATATTACCCCAGCTTGTTAGAAAGGACTCTGGAGGCCCCTGAACTGAATCTTGAAGGATAAGGGGTGTGTTCTCGAGAACATGTTTGTCTTAGGAAATGGTACAAGCTATGGCAGTTTTGGTGACCAAAGTATAGCATGTGTTTTGGGAAGGGGACACTATCTGAAGGTCTTATATTTCTTTTTAAAGCAACTGAAGGTCATGAACAGGCTCTGAAGAATTTTAAGCAAGGTGGTAATGGCATATTTGCATTTTATAAATAGATTCTAGAAAGACAGGCAAGAGAATTGGTATTTGTGATTTAAAGACCACTGAAAACAAAAGCAGAAGTAGCTTATTTGACTGATTTTAAGCTTATTTGACTGATTTTATAATAAGATAGTTTTACGCGCTTATGCTACTTAAAAGACAACAAGTTTGAACTGAACAAAAGAACAAGTTGTGGCTCAGTGGTAGAGTGCTTGCCTAGCATGTGTGAGGCACTGGGTTTGATTCTCAGTACCATGTATAAATAAAATAAACTAAAAAGATAAATTTTAAAAAGTTGATATGTTCCTTTCTACAGTGAAAGAAAACTACTCTGTTTTGATGAGCTTCAATTCAATAAGAATACTTTTGGTGAAAAAGCTATAAAGGACAATGTAATATTAAAAACAATTATCATTTTCAAATGAAAGAACAGGGACACATTGTTAAGAAAGAGAACAGATATTCTCAAAGATGCAAATCTGATTGTAATCATAAGTTATAAAAATTTTCTTCATAAGTACAAAGATTGTTTATTATTAAAAACTTTAATTTAATTGATTAATTTTAATAGAATTAGTTTTATAATTGCTTGTAATTAGTTTTGTAAATGCATAATTAATATAAGGTTATTTATAAAAACTTTACAATTTTCTTTTAGTTGATTTTGTTTTAAAAGACCCTAGAGAAAAAGAAGATGATAAAAAGACAATTGAACTTCCACCCCATCGTGCTGAGTAAGTGGTCGAGTTTCTCTAAGAATATTGATTTTATGTGACTGTTTATGTTTATATAATATATTTACATGCCATGTTTTCTCATACACATGTTTATAATTTATATCTAAACATATGCATTAGATAATTACATATGTGTATGTATATATTTCATATATTCAACTAATTTTTATTATGATCTTTATTGATGTATTTAAACTATAGTATGTTACATTTACAAATTGATGAATAGATGGACAGATGATTAATCACAGGGACAGATGTACACTTAGATGGTGGAGAGAAACTGAAATGTCTTTGTGTCTCCATAGCAAGTAGTGAAAGGCTTCAGATGTGGTGGGGTATCAAAGCTTGATGATAACTTTCATAAAAACACATTTGGGAACCTGTAGAAAATATGCATAAATATGGAAAGCAGTATGGAGATTCCTTGGAAATCTGGGAATGGAACCACCATTTGACCCAGCTATCCCTCTCCTCAGACTATACCCAAAAGACTTAAAAACAGCATATTACTGGGGCACAGCCACATCAATGTTTATAGCAGCACAATTCACAATAGCTAAACTGTGGAGCCAATCTAGATGCTCTTCAGTGGATGAATGGATAAAAAAAAATGTGGCATATATACACAATGGAATATTACTCAGCATTAAAAGAGAATAAAATCATGGCATTTGCAGGTAAATGATGGCATTGGAGAAGATAATGCTAAGTGAAGTTAGCCAATCCCCCCAAAACAAATGCCAAATGTTTTCTCTGATATAAGGAGGCTGACTCATAGTGGGGTAGGGAGGGGGAGCATGGGAGGAATAGATGAAGTCTAGATAGGGCAGGGGAGTGGGAAGGAAAGGGAGGGGGCAAGGATTAGCAAGGATGGTGGAATGTGATGGACATCATTATCCAAAGTACATGTATGAAGACATGAATTGGTGTCAACATACTTTGTATACAACCAGAGATATAAAAAATTGTGCTGTATATGTGTAATAATAATTGTAATGCATTCCACTGTCATTTATTTTTATAAAAAATCAATTAAAAACTCAAAAAATTAAAAAAAGAAAATATACATATATATTATGTCTTAATTTAGTACATGGATTAAATTATAGACCATATAATGGGAAAATTCACTTGCTGTATATTTTCCCTTAAAACTAATTGACATTTAGGAATAAATCTCTTAAATAGTTTGAAGAATGGGACTTATATAATTAAGAAACAATTCAGTTTTACTTTCTTTTTTTTTTAATTAAAAATGTTCCCCCAAAAAAAGAAAGAAAAGAAAAAGGAAAAAAAAGAAGAAAACATCAAGTAGCCACTTATTTTCTGTGGAGAACATCTGTTCTCCTGGGGAAAGACAAGAATTATCCTTCATAATTATATAGGAGGTATTGCAATCACACCTGAAAAGCTAAATTAATCTTACTATGGAGCAAAACAGGACAAACTGTTTAAAATCCGTGAGAATAAAACATTATAGTAAAAAATGGATATTGAAATATACAGAGGCTTGAAAATACTGTAAGATGAAAACACATTTAATATGCCTACCTATTGAACATCATAGCTTACCAACATAGTCTGCTGTGTTCCACAGTTTACCTTCCTCATTGCATGGCTAGCTGTAAGCTGCAGTGCCCTGCTACTGCCCAATATCATGAGAACTATTATCACTGCCGGCATATTGCCAATCCTGGAAAAATTCAAAATTCAAAGTCCATTTTCTACCGAATGTGTGTTGCTTTTGCACCATCATAAAGCTGAAAAATCCTAAGTCCAACTGTTGTAAGTTGGGAACCATCTGTATTCTGAAAGATAAAGATGGCATATATTTAATATTTAAAGGATGATTATTTAAATCATTGAAGTTACAGAACAAATGGGTCTTCAGTTAAGAATGCTAAAGGATATCTGTGATTTGAAAATGTTCTTTACACATTAACAGATGATAATGTTCAAGGGAATTTCCACAGGCAAGTTGGACTGTGTCCTTAAAATATTTTAAAAATAAAGGCAAAATCTAAATGTTGTATACCCTAAAATTAACAGAGTTTTTTCACATATGAAAGATATCTGGCTACAAAGATATCATTGTAAGTTATTTTGTAGACTCAATCAGATCAAGTATTTACAGACAAAAATTAATTTATGTGCTAAAGATTAAAATTTAGTTGGATAATCATTATTATAATGAAATTATACTAAGCCATATAGAGTATATCCTGTATATATTTTTAAAAATAGTTGAATATTGTATTATTTATTAGGTGACATTTTTATTAAAAGCAAATAATTATTGCTAAAAATTTGCATTTATTGTAAACATACTTCTTTTCTTTCTTTCTTCCTTTCTTCCTTTCTTTTTCTTTTCTTTTCTTTCTTCCTTTTCTTTTTTGCTGTGTTGGGGATTGAACTCAGGGTCTTATGAATATTAGGCAATCACTCTATCACTGAGCTATACTCTAGCCCAATACTTTCTCTTGATTATTAAAAATAAGTAATTAAATATTTTCTCTTTGTTTTCAGGATGGAAATTCTGCCAAAACCTTGGAGAACATCTTTTTTAGCTGCAAGTAGTTATATTAGGGATCACTTGAATGCAATGAATCCCACGATGCTGGCTGTGCTAGATTTGTGGCACAGTACTTTTAAGTGAGTATTTATTTCTGGATTTATTGAGGTTTTTAAAAGAGAGATAAAAGTTATTTGTATCACATCTTTTTAAAAATATTTATTTTTTAGTTGCAGTTAGACACAATACCTTTATTTTATTTATTTTTTATGTGGTGCTAAGGATCGAACCCAGGGCCTCCCATGTTCTAGGCTAGTGCTCTACTACTGAGCCACAACCCCAACCCTGTATCACATCTTAATTATTTCTATTATTAGTTTAACTGCAAATTAAAACATGAATTAAAAATACAAGGTAAATATTCAAAGTATTCAAACCTGGTTTTAAGTACACAATATAGATATACATAGAGTGAGTATTGCCTTTTATTTCTAACCCAGTTCTGCCCTTCTTCCTCAGTTGAATACCGCAAGTACTTTAAGGATAATTACAGATAAGAGGCTGAATTGTCATACTTTGTTTAAATTACACAGAACTTTAATCTTTACATCCTTTAACGCATGTGGTAACCTGGTGACTATTGCCCAAGTGAGTGATGTGAGGTAAAGTCCAGGATGACTGCTGGGAATCATGGCCTGTCTCCCAGCTCTTGTTTTGGCTGTGTGACGCAAAGTGTTTGGCAGCTGAATGTGAAGCTTGGTTGGTAGTTGCTGGTGGAGAAAAAGAACTTGGCCTCTTAGGGTAAAGAGAAGGGTTCGACATGCTATGCTGGACCTTTAGCTTCACTGTCCCTTGCATTTCAGTCCCCTTCCAAGGACCTGGGAAGCATTCTGGTAATATACTCACATGCA